ATCAACACATATGCAATTTTGAACCTTTAAATTTGGAAACAAACTTATTTCTGCATTAACACTGAATGTGGGATAACCAAATTACACACGAGCAAGTCAGTTTTAAATAAAACACATCAGTGGTATTCAGTACTTGTGGTATATTCAGCATTTTTATAATCTATTCAGGATTTATTTTTTCTTGTTTATTCATTTTTCTTATTTTTATTCTCCTTTTTTTCTCCCGTAATAAGTGTCATCGCTGCTGTGACGTCTAGCTTTCCCTACTGAGGAACAATAAAGGGATTTTCTATTCTATTCATCCGTCTGCAGCCTTTCCACTTCCTGTTTACTGTAGGTTAAATATTTTCTCACGGGCCAACAACAAAATAAAAATGTAATTTTATCTTAAAAGAAAATGCAACTTCTCACCTGTTAACTTTCATGTTTTGGAGCAGAAAAAGAGCATAAAACCAACATATTTAAAGCTCAGTTTGCTCCACTGGTTTACTGTGATGCTCACCTGTTCCAGCCAGATACCTGCATCATGGGGTTGATCTGAGCTGAGGAGGAGACTCCTGTCGTTTTGTTCATCTTCATCATAATAATGACAACATTAGATGACAACAGGTGATCACATAGGTTTGTGCTGATGAACATGTCTGAGCAGCTTGACCACGTTGTTGTGTGTCGGGGAGGAAACACAACGACAGCAACCACAGAGCCGTGCTGGTTTGAGCGTGTCGCTGCTCGCTGGAGTTATATCAGCTCTGTCTGGACGTTAGTTGGAAAACTTTCTCTTTCAGTCGTGAACACATTACTGAGCGGTTAAAATGTCCGTTTCTGGGCTTCAACGTCAGAAAATAGCTGAGTGAACTCGGCGCTGAGTGAGAGGAGTGTTTAGTTTGTCCGAGACAGCGGAGCTGCAGAGACCAGCAGCAGACGCTGGAAAAAAACACAAAGGAGGGGGCGCGTCGGCTCCGCGCTAAGGCCGCAAAGCATCATGGGAGTTGAAGTCTTTGCGGTAAAATCGGCCAGCGGGCCAGTTTTAATATATTTTTGATATTTATCTCGCGGGCCACATAAAAATGCTCAGCGGGCCGCATCTGGCCCGCGGGCCGTGTGTCTGACACATGTGCATTAAGCCCCATTCCCACCTGTACCGGGTCGGCCCGGGCCGGGTAGCATAGGTTGTTTACATATCTGGGTGGCCTGGAATTTTCCCGGGCCAACCAAGGCTCATTCTCGGCCCTCTTCCCGAGGGGTACTGCTTCAGGCCGACCAGGGCCAACACGCCCACTGCTGACAGCAAATTCACACCTTCCATTAGAGCAAGCCTCTGATTGGTGGGTAGAATCAGCCCATTCACACCTTCCATTAGAGCAAGCCTCTGATTGGTGGGTAGAATCAGCCCACATGGGCTTAAGGCAAGGATGTGTGGAATCAACCGGGCCAGGCTGGGGCCGACTGGGGCTACCCGGCCCGGGCCGACCCGGTACAGGTGGGAATGGGGCTTTAGAGTACTCAGGTTACCTATATATTTAAGAAGCCACTTACTAGCTGGTGTTTTAGTTAGGTTTTTTTTGTTGTTTTTTTTTTTTGCAGAAGAGCAACATTATGTTAAACAGCAGAATGTACCACAGGGATGAAAAAGTCTACCTCAGGTTTAATGTAGCACGCTCTGTAATGACAATGCTGCTGCTGGTGTTACAAGCTGATTTTAATGCAACTGAAGCTGCCACTCCAGGGGAAATAAATGATCATTTACTGATTATTAGGAGGAAATGCTAATGGGGCATCCTGTTGATGTGAAACCATTAAGGAAACTCAAATGTTTTAACCTTTATCCATCAGAAATGCTTTATTTGATGATAATTTTAAAGGTAATTCTGCTGTGAAAGAAGAAATAATCTACTTAAGCTAAACATGCATTAGATTGGATTTTCCACATACATCTGTGCAAGGGCAGACATATTGATTTGAAATGAAAATGATCAAATCTAATAAAATGGTGAAAAGACACCACTAGTATACAGATGTTTAAAACTTTTAGTTCAGATCCTCATGTTATCATCTCTGTTCCTAGACTTCCTCGCTTATGGAGCTTTTCCACTCCTCAGCACAGCTCATCTTGGCTTGACTCATCTCTGCTCTACACGCTTCAGGTGGATTTCCATTAAACGGCTCTAGGGGATGGGCTCATCATTGTGGGGCAGTCACCAGACAGTAAGCATGACTGTATCTGACACAAAAGCATAGCATGAGGTGATCGGTATTAAGGTTGGGCGATTGAACAAATTTATCGACCATCTGTGATAGTCCCTTCGCTGATTGTTTTTTACGAACGATGTTTTTTTATGTCTGTGAATTACTTTCAGAGATGGGAGATTATATACTTCTACGACAAATCAGCATCTTTTTGCAACACTCTATGTAGATGAACATATTATACATTAAAAAGCTGTGATTCATGTGATTCCAATGTTTTAGTAGCCTGGCAACCTATCTGGCCACGACCCATAGACAGATCTCAGTCATGGGGAGGGATCTTCGGTTGTCTTTTTAACTGTCTCCACATGCTATTGGACAACAAGCAACATGACATAGTCACCGCTACGGATCTCAGTCAATGGGGCAGTCTGCCATACACTGTCAAAGAAGACGCAAATACATCCAGTTTCTAAATAAACTCTATCTACTGTTGCGGGTCTTTTCAATTTCAGGCCTTGAGGGCCGGTACCCAGCACATTTTAGTGGTTTCTCTGCTCCCACACACTTGATCCAGTGGTTGAATCACCTGTGCAGCAGCTCTTAGGGCTCTGCAGAAGGCTGTTAATCACCTCCTAATTAAAAACATGTGTGTTGAAGCAGGGTTAAAACCAAAACCTGCTGGATACCGGCCCTTGAGGCCCATATTTGTCAAAATGTCATACTGAATTAAAGAAAAGCTCATGTGTAAACAGTTCAAAGTTGATGCCAAAGCCACATGTTTGCTGTTTTGCTCAGTTGCAGTAATATCACACCCACCAAACCAATAGCTTGCTGTGATTGGTAAGGCATAAGACTGCTCAGGCCTGCAGAAGCTCCTATGGAGCGTTAGACCAACCTGCAAAGCAAAATCATTTTGCTTCTGCTACGATCTGTCTAGATCTCTAGGCTAACGATTTATGGCAATCAAGGATACCGCCATAATTGTAGATACAGTAAATGCTTTTGTCAAACTTCAGAATAAATTTCACAATAATGTCCAACTCGCAGTTTGAAGCCTCATATCACTGACAGAATAGAGCAATCCCAAACCTAAATGGTCTTGATGCATCCACAACAATGTCCCCCAATAAAACAGTTAGTCCCCAAGTCTTTGGTCCTCCAGTATTCCACTGGAGACCTTTGCAGAGGCAGAATCTTCAGTGATTGGCCAATAGGTTAGAAGTGCCGCCCCCTATTCTCACGTGTGTTGCACGAACTAATTACAGCACAGTATATTATTGACTGAAGCAACAAAATAACCATGGTGCAGGCAAAATCTCCTTAATTTGACTTTACTGAAATATTCAGCAGCTTTTTGCTCAATTTGATCATTAAAATCAGATCATTAAAATAAATGACTACATTTCATCAATTCAGCGAGTGCATTTAGGCTCCTCTCACGTCAAAGCACTGGTACCATAAGAGGAACACAGTGGGAGGATCGATACGCTATCATTCTCTCACAATACAAGAACATCAGAGAAACACAACATCTCCCTCTCCAACTCCCTCCACAGCCTTCAGGCCCAGCCCACAAGAAGCATCTCTCACATAAATCAAGCAAAGCACAGAGAGCTAAGCAGACCCCAGGAGCATGTAGATCTCCCAGCACTCGGTCCCCTGCCACTGGTTTCCTGGGCTGCTTCAGCCCACACCCTGGGGCACAGAGCCTGTCAGTCAGTCGTGGCAGACTGAGAGAGTCCCCATCAGTGGGAATGGGGAAGTTACTGACACATGTCAGTGTGATTCAGAGGCTGTAGACCAAGTGGATGCAAGCTGTGAAACAAAATGGAATTTCTCAGCAGCTGCAGTTCTGTTTGAATGCCAGTATTTCAGACACATGAAACAAATATTGCCCAGTCATTCAATATAGGGCCCCAGTACAACAGAGCAGTATGCTGATATTATTGCAGCACCGCCAAATGTGCCCACTCAGTTGGAGTTCCTATGTGCTTGTTGTAGTGCAGGGCTGTAACACAGATGGTACAGCTGACAAGGGTGCAAAACATTAACAATTTACATAAGACATCACTATTACTCACTGAAGCTATTTATGCATAGCTGTCCCAAGGAAAAATAACCTTCGTATCTCATCACGATGCCATCCTAAAACGCACTGCTAAATGGAAGGCAGACCTTCGTCCTTTCTTTTATCCATCTTCCCATCTATTTTTCTTGCTTTTTGTAAACCAAAGCAGACAATTACAAGGGAAAGAGCAAAACTCCAGGAATTGAAATCACCAAGCAGTATGGCTTAGAGGAGAAAGGGGAGGGTTGCAAATCCCAATCGAATCTCTTTGCATGGGAGATACGCACAGTTACTAGCAGAGCACTCTGATGGGAGAAACACCTCAAATGAGAAAATGAGGGGGGAAAAGTAAAGTGCACACACTCAGATGAGTGACTGTGCTGTCTATCCGTGTGAAGAAAGGGAGACTTCAAAGTTTACCCTGCGATAAATGCAAATGACACTTGAAGAGATGAAGACGACAGCATGTTTACATCAAGACCGAGCGCTAAATGAGGCAAGTTCCTGGCAGCCTGATGATGAGCTTTGAAGCTCACATGTCATTTATACTGAAGCTAATTTTCGACTGCATCAAAAAGCAAAAACAAAACTCATCAGTTGCAAAAGAAAAAGAAAAAAGTTTAAATAACACTTGTATTTGTGAGTCCAAAATCCAAACTGTTTGTGGATTAAAACATAATGAGATGACATTTTGACTATTATACATTGATGCATCACAAACATGAGATAGAAAAGGCCTTACCAGGTCTCATCGTTTTTGAACTCCAGTTCTCCGTAGGTGTCTTCAAAGTCCTCTCCTCCTCCTTTGGCAAGTCCCTCCACGGTGCGATAAGGCACAATGACTGTCCCCCTTGCTCCAGAGGTCCTCAACACCTTTACCTCCATGATGCCAATGCTCTCACTAACATGGACTGGACTACTCTCAAAAGTGAAGATGCCAGAGTGATCATCATCCAGAATAGTCACTGTGGCCACAGATGGGAATCCTAGCATTGCCTTTGGGTATGGGAGGCTGTTGGCAGACAGGACCTCATCCTCAGTTTCCAGAACACGGAGATTACTGAGACGCACAAAAAAGTGCTCATCCTCTTCAAAGATGTCATCATCAATGATGCCAATGCTTATTTCTTTGATCATCTCCCCTGGTTTGAACACCACTGTGCCCTCTGTGAACTCATAGTCAGCCCCAGCATTAGCTGAACCGTCCTCAGTCTTGTAATCCACGTAGATTGTCTTGTTGATGTCGCCACCTTTCCTTGTGATGTTTAGGATAACAGCGCCGCAGTTCTCAAGGCACTGATAGACAGCGGGCTCAAAAGCTATCCGAGACACAAACTCTTCTGGTTCATCCACGTGCACCTCCTGCACACTAGCGCTCTTCTTTGCCTGCTCTGCAACGTGTTTCTTCAGGATATTTCCAGCGCCTGTCATCATGCGTGTGGCCTGTATACGGTAGAAGGCACGGCTCTTTTGCTGGTGTGAGAGGGCATAGTAGTTGGCCATCTCAACCAGTTGATCAAGCTCTTTCTCAGGGTACTTCTGCTTTAGGTCCTTTAAGATACGAATCATGTCTCGACGAGATTCGTCTACTTCTTTGCTCTCAATCAGACCAATAAGATTGCTGGCTGCACCTCCATCCATGAAGTGGGAGTTGACCATCTTGCCGTCCATTTCAATTCCCTTGGAGCGTTCGGTCTCAGTCTCAATAATGACGCCCCTGTGTTTATCAGTGCGATACTTCTTGTGCATAAACTTGTAGAATAACAGTCGTCTGTCTGCTACCCAGGCAAGAATAACACATATGGGGAAGAAGGCCAGTGTGACTAGACCTTCCCAGACCTGGACTACGTTGGGAGAAAACACCGCCAGAATCATGTAAAGCCAGATGTAGGCAAAGATACTCCACCCTGCTGTGACAAAGAACACTCTGAGGTGCTTGACTTTTCGTACTTCTCCTTGGGGAATGACAGACACACAAAGGCCAATTATGACAAACATATTGAAAGCTGCACTGCCAACAATAGTGGAAGGGCCAAGTTCACCAGATTTAAACTCATGTCCACAAACCTCAATCAGAGAGAGCAAAATCTCAGGAGCAGAGGAGCCCAAGGCCATGAGGGTAAGATTGGAGACTGTTTCGTTCCACACCCGGATTGTGGTTGTGGTTGTTTCCCCATTGGGCCTTTTGATAACAATTTCTCTTTCCTGGGAGGTGATGACCTCAATGGCTGCCATGAAGCGGTCAGCAATGATGGATACACCAAGAAACATGTAGATCATGGCCACAAAATAGACAATGACTCGAGCAATCTTGTCCCCCATGGAAGGATCCTCTGGATACCAGATGGGAAGGATGATCCCTGCTTGACACTTCGAGGTTCCTTTGCAAGTGGCATTGTTGGTGCTTAGCAAAGGGCTGGGAGTGGTCCGGGCCTCAGAACAAAGGAAAGCAACAGCCACAGAGATCAGCCCCAACCAGAGGCAGGCTGATGACCCCGGTTTTACAGGCCTTGAACCCTCCATGCACCCTTTTTCGTCTTAAGGGTCCTTACCACACCAACAGTCCCTTTGGGATCCAGCACTGGGCTGTGTCCTTCTCCTTCCACCACCTAAACAAAACAGAGAGAAGCAGGAAAAAATCACGCAAATGTTATTTCATGTACTAATTTTAAAAATGAACACATTTATTCATCTTGGGGGGAAAAAGCTGGAGGAATGTGGGGCAGAAGACGGCAGAATTTGGAGTCTTACTCATTAATTATTCATGATATTTGGACATCTTGCCTCTGATTGGCTAACAGCAACACAACTGCACCACTGACTCGGTTTGCTTTGCAACGCTGATGTTTTTTTCTCTGCAAATAACTCAAGCCTGACAAAGTTCTGCCATGTTGTGGAGTTGCTAATGCAAATGGTTAGCTTCTACTAGCTGAGATGTGCTCTGCTCTCTCCTGGACACTGAATTAACAACAGCCTTCCTCATGGCAACCAAGATGGGCGAGTCCATGAACGCAAACTTGACATTGGGATGTGCAATTGTCGTTGGCATTTCTAATCCGTCTATCTATCTGGCTATCTAATCCTGTCTATGTTTATCGGTGGCTAATGCTGGAAGTACGAGTTGAGGGCTATTTTTACATTTGGTCTGCATGTTAAACTCAGAGTGACCGACTATAATTTAAAAAGAGCAAGTAAAAAATTGTTTCTCAGTGGACTTAGCCTCGAATCACTATCACAAGATACTTGGTGGAAGTATGCATCATTCAAAAGACATGACAAAATAAAAGCATGCACACAAATCAGAATGTGACAAAAGCAGTTTCATAATCATAGTTTTTCTTTTGATTGCAAATATTTGTGATTATTTGAAGCCAAAATCAAAATTGAAATACAAATGTCATTAACTATATAGCCCTAAGTTGGAGTAAGTCAGATGTGGATAATATTTTAAAATCCTCTAATTTGGAAACACAGTCAGTAAAAAAAAAGAAGATGAGGGAATATTAAAAAAGTATATCCAACATTGGAGTGATTCCAATTTTATTTTAATCCCAAGATTAAAAGACGCTGGTAATACAAGTCTGTCCTTCCTGCTTTACAAAAATGTATCCATTTCCACATCTAAATATATTTTTCAAAATGTTTACATTAAACAGGAAAAATATTAAAGAACTGTAAAAATTCTATCATCCTCCTCAACATCCATGATTTGTATGTTTCTCTCTTACAGACTTCCGTGAGACCCAGTGCTGGACTGACCATAGGGCATAGCGGGCAACTGCCCGCTGGGCCGACCCTTTCATCTTTTATGGGCCGGTGTCTGTTTTTTTTTTTTTCCTGGCCTCTAGTTGTTGCGGACAACTTGCCCGCGCCGCCCCACGCGACGCCTCGTAAAAGTTGGTGGATTGGCCAATTGGTAATAATACACTCTGGGCTGGACCAATAGCCAGAGGTCTGATGCACCCGCCAGTTGTTTGTGAATCTCAGTAAACAGACAGACGAGCTTAACAAAATGGAGAACAAAAAACGGAAAGGAGAAGCGGAGAAAATTCGACTAAAAAAGAAACTGGCCCTTCAGGCTGATGCTGGCACATGTGTTAAAATCTCACAGTTGTTTGGTAGTGAAGGTTCAAGTAAAATCAATTTAGGAAGTGATGGAGCCTCAGCCCAGCGACAGGTTGGAGAAGAAAAGAGGGAGGAGGAGGAGAAACCCGAGCCGGTGTTGTGCCATAAATTGACTCGCTGCCAAAAAATGATTAGCCACCGCGGGATCGCGCACGGTTAGGCAATTGCATTTCTAGACAAAATTCCCCAGGATTTCGCCCTAAAACTCAGCATATCTAGCAATATGGACATTCAGAAAGCAAAGATAACCTCTTCCGGTACTTAAACAGATGTTTATCGCGGATATTAGTGTGGCAGTGTTTGTGGCACCCTGCGCGGGAGCACGAGGACGTGCTTGTGGAAAGAGGGAGGGAGATGTGGCAGTGTGAGCATCCACAATGTCCCGATTGATCATGCGCCCTGGCTGCTTGGCCAAGGAGATGTCCCTTTGGCTGACTGGTTAGAGCATAAGACTCTCACCCGGGAGTCTGGGGATCGAATCCCGCCCGGGCACTCGTTTCTGCACCTTGTCACATTAGTTTTTCCAGTTCGGAAGTTGTTTTAAGTGTTGCTATTTGTCTTAAACGTTCACAATGAGGATATATTAATCCTTTTTGCAATATTTGCGATTGAAAGATGGTTTGTGCCACAAACTTTGTGGTAAGAACTGGCTTTCTTTATGTTACAGCCTTGATACTAAAAAAAATAAATAAACAATGTAAAATGGCACCCTGTATTGAATGTAAACGTTGTATAAATGGAAATAAACAATTCTCCAGCGATTTAATTTTTTCCCCTTCCTTTCTTTAATCCACTTGACATGGAGCCACAGTTAACTAGTTTGGGGCACATTTTTACTTGAAAAAAAGTATTTAAAATGATCAAGCTTTGGCTTTACAATGAAACTGTGTAGGTTGCTATTCATTACATTGCTCTATTTAAAAGTAACAAGATAAAAGCACTTCAGCACATAAAATTAAGATTGTCACTTGCCAAATAGACTACACCCTCCCGTTTACCTATAAGAAATGCCTCAAAATATCTTTAAATTCTTTATTGATGATTTAATTGTAGACAACTAAAATGGCATTTTACTTGCCAAAAAGTGATTGAATCGCTAAGATTTTCATGGAGGCTAAAATTGACCAAATAAGGGTTTTATGTATTATCTGTTGATGTTACTCATACTGCCTACTGTGTCATCAAAAACACCCCAAAAATGGCAACAAAAAAAAAAAGAAGATAATTTCCCTTGCCAAAAATTGATTACAGTGTCCTGGTCACCTGTAAAGGGTTACATTTACCTAAATATTACTTTATTTATTATCTCTTGATGTTATTAGTGCCATCACAGGATGCCGGTGTCTTTCACATTCATAAAAACCTCAAAAATGGCAACAAATGATCATTTCCCTTGCCAAAAATTGATTACAGTGTCCTGGTCACGTGTAAAGGGTTAAATTGACCTAAATATTACCTTATTTATTATCTCTTGATGTTATTAGTGCCATCACAGGATGCTGGGTGTCTTCCACATTCATAAACACAGAGTCCTGGTCACCCATAAAGGCTTAAATTGGCATAAATATTACTTCATTTATTATGATGCTGGGTGTGTTCCACAATCATATTCGAATAAACGTGAAAATATTCTGTCTGAATATCTGTTTCTTGTTATAAATATAACAGCTAGAAGGATTTACAGTTAAAATAGGAGAAACACGTGACTCCCCAGGAAGGGTCGTAACACCACTTGCCTCATGCACATAAGTGAACAAAACAAAGCAGCATGGAGACACTCCGTCTCCAACCACCTCTCAGGCAGCAGCCTGCACTCCCGAGTTCTACACATCACCAGAACATAACCAACCGCAACACAATAAAAGCAGTGTTATACAAAATGAAAGGCCTGTAGTGTTTATTCTCTTACAGTAACAACTTATCAATTTTTTGGAGGAATTTATTTGAGAATTTTTTGGTTTTTATTAATTGTGCAATAGAAAAGTAATCGCTAGATTAATCATCTAAATAGTCATTAGAATAGTCGACTATTCGATAAAATAATCGTCAGAATAATCATTTTAAAAATAATCAGTTACCCCCAACCCTACTTTTTAGAATACCAGGATAGGAAGGATGGTGTAGGTTTACGTTTATTAGATTGATACATAAATACTACCAATAAGAAAGTGTACGTTGGTGTGTGTCAGAAACAGCATAAGGCTTAATGTCTTTTCCAAAAAAAACAGGTGATGGGCCGGTCTCCAATCAAAATGCCCGGGCTGAATTTTTGTCCCAGTCTAGCCCTGGTGAGACCTTAACGTTGAAACGCAATCAGGAAAATAAACATTCACCAAAAAAAGAGCTTGGATGCAGATTTACTAATTAAAAAGTAAAACAGTGCAACTGGCAGGAAGTCATCAACCAAAAAAAAAAAAGAACAAAACTTTTAATCCATAAACGTAAGCAAGAGAGAAAAGCATTGCAATAATCTTCCATTGTGAAATGTGATTATAATTTAAGATAATGATCTCACCCATCATTTTTAGTTCTAATGAATGGACTTCATGCATTCATGTTTGAAGCAAACAGCTGAGTCCAGAGGCAGAAATAGCACAATGAAACAGTTGGCTGCTCCAAGCCCATTACATGTTTTAACGGCAAAGGCTCCCTCCTCAGTGGTGCCTGATTATTTAGTGTATCAGGAGATCAGAGGAGACCTTTCTACAGCCTCCAACAACCCCTCTGAATCCCACAAGTTGGTGGGCAGTTTAGGTTTAGACAGAAAAGTCTCTTCAGATAGATTCCAACAATGTAAGTCTTCTTTAATGATTTCCGATTATTTCTTTTTTTATTTGTGGGATGCTTGTTTCCCTTTGCTTCGCTGAAGCTAAATCTACTTTAAGTCTATCAGCCTTTTTGAACATGAGAGTGCATTCCTATGTTCTGATTCCAGGCTGAAGGATTGATTACCTCTGGGGCTGCCTGCACTAATATGTGCAATATGCACACTTGAAAGTGTCCATGAATAAAAGCATCCATTAAATGCTATTGTAAAGCCATGAGTAAAAGGATTTGTTGCATCTATTAATTAGCGATGATTTAACCTCAAGAATCGGATCAGGGTTCTCGTTAAAGCATTTTTCACTGATCGGTGTCCGATTGGTTCAGAAACACCCAGCTCCTCTTCTCTGCTGTTGAGCTACTGTCCAGCTCTTTCATCAGGAGCAGGAGGCGAGTAGTATGGACATCTGGACCAACTGTGGAAGTAGAGAAATATTTTGCACTGCAGGTTGGTCTAGACACGCTCCATTCTAGCCTCAGCAGGTCTACCAATGACCTAAACAGTTCTGTGTTTTGACAATCACGGCGCCCTTTGTTGGGAAGGCTTAGCACTAAAGCTGTAATGCATTAAAACGACAAAGATGGTGTCGGCTCAGAAACGGCGTTCGTTTGGAACAACTTTGGCTTCAACTTTTGGCAATTTAGACTTGGCCTTTTCTTTGGCACATGAGCAGACAGAGATACTCGAGTCTAGTGCAAATTAGGCTTTTGGGGGAGCCTCAATCCCCAAAGGGGTGAAGGGGTGGGGCGGGCTGTGTCTGTCCGGTCTCCGTAACAGCACGTTGGAGGGAGGTGCACGCCAGGTGTCCAAGCAATCTCAGTCAGAGCGCACACAGGGGTCGGGAGTGTGGGGGGACTGCAAAGCAAGCCGACTTTGATTAATGGCTGAATAAAGTACGCTTAAAAGATCTCCAGGTAACAGAGAGTCCTCATAAATAATGCAATACAAAGTGAAACTGGATCGTTTTTGGCTCCCCCTTGGTGTGGGCTTTCAGGGGTGCCCATCGCCCTTTTGTGGGAGCCGGGCTCCCCTTAGCTCCCCTTGTAATTTGAACCCTGCTTAAGTCCTTTATCTGGAAAAAACGATGTATTTGCTTATTCTTGGGTAATGTATGGTGGAGTACCCGTTAACTCATTGCCGTAGTGATGAACATTTGACATTGGCCGTTGCTCTGATTGGTCCTAGTCCTGTTCAATTGCATGAGGAGCCCATTTGAAAGAGAACCATAGATTCCACCCTACAGCTAAGCTCTGTCTACGGGTCGTGGCCAAGCTATATATTTACATATATAGGATGGCTTGTCAGGCTAAGATGAGGACCCAATGAAAATGTAAGCACAGTTCAGAATCGCTGAGCTAGTTTCACTTTCACACTGCTTAATTCAAATGAAAACCTTTCACTTTCACTTGAATGAATAAACTGCTTGAAACGCTCTTTCTGAAAAATCAGAGCGTTCACAAACAACTACTGTTGTTTAAAGTAGTTTCTAAGACCGACTGGTGATTTTTAGTCATCTACTTTGAGGAAAAGTGAGACAAACTGTGAGATCCATGGTGATAAACTGTCTCCCTGCACTGTGATTCGCTAAAGAAATCCACATTTACTGTACTTATGTGGTCTGCAGGTCTGTGCTGTATTTGAAAACTCATACTGATATCAGCGATCAAGGATCTTGACTGAAATATAAATGTTTGTGATTTTGTCCAACTGAAGCTTTATTAAACGATACAAGTATTTGAAAACGTTCAGAAAGAAGATGTTGACAGTTAACAGATGCGGGTGACACAGTTGAGGCTTTCACACCATTAAAAATGTCACGTTTCAACTGTGGTACCTTAGAAGTGTCAACACAACCTGCAGGAAACTGGAAACCTCTCTCATAATGTCCTGTGTGCAGACGGTGGAAAAATCCCAATTAATTTATTCTAGAATAAATTATCCTTACTATTTGCAATTTAATGGTTCACAAGCACCAATAATTGCATCAATTGCAGTCTTTTGGGAAACCGTAACCTCAGTGACATTCAAACAAAATCCATTTTACAAATACAGCTTTTATTTGGAGGCGATGAAATTAAAAACTGAGAAAATGCAATTTTTTTTTAAATGTTAAAAGAAAAAATAGGTAGTTGATTGTAAAGCGGTGCAATGATCTGAAGGAGAGAAAATTGGATGACAGCAAACGGCAGCACAAGCCGGAGACAAGGAATTTAAATTCTACTGAATCAGCAGAGCCATTTCTGTGGACTGCAGCCAGCTCTGCAACCCCTGTGAGAATCAGGAGCAGAGCCAAAACAACAACAAAATAACAAAAGTTAGGATTTAACGAAGGAGAATTAGAATTTAGAGCATATTTGGAAAGAAAAATTTACTTTGAATTCTTTTGACTTGGAATGTTTAAAACAAACATGAAAAATTATTGATTACATTAACGGGAAAATTACGAACTGCAGGGAAAATTACGTAATGGCAGGGGTCGACGAAAATGTTCCATTTTGTTTCCGAATATTTTTATTTTTATTTTTGCACAACGGCTCACAAAGGTGCATCTGCAGATGATGCAGTCGCCGCTATGTCACCAGCCTGGGATGGGAATGATTACAGGTCCGTTTAAACTCTGGGACAAAAGCAGCACACCTTAAATAAATCCAAACAGGATTTTAAAGCTACTTCAATTACGCCTGCTCACATGATAGTTATATCAATCCCTGTGAGAATTATGAAGCGTTTTAGCTGCTAAATATCAAAATCTCCTCTCTCCCTCGTGGTTCCGAGCAGGCAGTATGTCTGGAACAATTCTTTCGCAAAAAATCTGCATCCTTCTCAGAGAAAAATGACTCTGTGAGGGTTTTTCTGGAGATTTGAGGGATGATTTGATGTTGATACGCCGGTACAAATGAAAATATTGATCCTAGCTGCTTTGTATGAGCTGTAACTCCCTTCACCATAAATACCTCCAATTTTCTGCAACGACATGCAGATGGTGAGATCCTCCAAACTCAGAGTGTTTTGGAGCACTTAGAAGATAACTGATGAAAGTTTGCTCTGTGGGTTTGATTATGTAACCTGTCTTGTCTCATAAAATGACTAAATCTCATGTTATTTATTGTACCATTAGGCTATAATTCTATAATAAATCCATAATTAGACAATTACATCTTTTTATTTAAAAGACTTCATTATCAGATTCACTGAGTTGATTGAGAGACTCACTTAAGATATGGAAATAATCTGGGGTAGAAATATAAGGTTTATCAGAGTAATTACATTAAGCACTCAGTCTGTTCAGGTGGATGACCTCACAAGGATTTTGTATTGGAAAATTGATTTTCTATCACCTCGCAAATTGCATTCAGGTGCTGTGAGACGGCGGCGAGTAAACCGGCGCATCTCTCAGCATGCATCGCCACTACGACCATGACCCTTAAATTAGGAGCTACACAAAACAATTTGCATACTAACTGCTGCTTTAGGAATGGCATTTGCTTTGTGAATACACATGAGTGTGATCAGTAACCAAGATGAAGGGAAATTTAAGTTGTTTTCAAAAGCTACATGTCAGCCTAATGGCTGCATGGTGAACTTTCTACATTAGGGGCAGCAATCAACTTTGACATCTTGCAATTAAATACATCAATGGCGAATTCATCTCAATAGTTAGTGGTGAAAGCAGATTTAAAAACATTCGAACAACTTTTAACCAACTTTAGCTGTTTTGAAACTAAAGAGTGTGTGATAAAAAGTTAAATATCAAAAAACTCTCTGATCCGATTCCCGTGGTGTGCAGAAGACCTGAAAAGAGAAATCAGATGTTCGCCTGCCCTGATTTTTTTTTTACACTTATCAATGTAAGAGCAAAATCGATGATGAATGATTAAATGATTAAAAACTGAAAACTGGGGTTGACAATTTGACGATATTAAATTGGGACTAATCAGATAAGCTGATGATAAGTCAAATAAAAAAATCATAATATTATAACATTTTATCTCCTTGAGAGACTTAGAACATATTTAAGAACTGTTTCCACCCGGACCATTAAAGGTGTGACACCCTGGAAGCCTGATCACTTCCTGCCTAATGAGAGTGTCCATAAAGTAAGTAAAGCTTGATGTTCGCACAACTTTACCTACTTGGTGTTTTACTCTGGAGTTATGCTTGCTATCTGTAGACATATGTTAGCATCAATAGCACCTGTTAGCATGAGGCAGCTAATGCTATGACTGTTTATATGTCTTAGCCTCAAGTTAATTATGGAAAATGTGTGATTGTTCAGTATAGAAAATCTCTCTCTCTCTCTCTCTCTCTCTCTCTCTCTCTTCTCTCTCTCTCTCTCTCTCTCTCTCTCTCTCTCTCTCTCTCTCTCTCTCTCTCTCTCTCTCTCTCTCTCTCTCTCCTCTCTCTCTCTCTCTCCTCTCTCTCTCTCTCTCTCTCTCTTCTCCTCTCTCCTCTCTCTCTCTCTCTCTCTCTCTCTCTCTCTCTCTCTCTCTCTCCCTCCCTCCCTCCTGGATGTATGCATCAGTCATTATAAGCTCACACAGATGAAAAGAAAAAGTCACATTTTAAGGTATTTGGCAAATTCAGTAATTTAACCCCTAGGCTGTGTTGATATGTGTATTTTATGCTCATAAAGGTGGCAACTGACTTTTAGGACCTTCATCAAAAACATCTGATGCATTTTTTTGAAGCATGTGATTTTACTTCTCCCTGAGAGCCCTAAAGAGAGGGGGTTTCTGTGAATAAAATCTTAAGCATCATAAAAACGTTCAATAAAATAATCTGGATTAATAACTGAGTCAGCCTGACCAACAGAGTTAAGACAGACTGAGGACAAATCCAGTCAGCTGTGTCCGTTGGGTTTTGGGAAAACTGATCCACACTATTGATTCATTATTGTTTCATGGAATAATAAATAAATAATGAATAAAACAAGAACAAGAATTGGGTAAATGTCAAATCAGCCACATTTGTACTATAAAACAGACTTTTTTTAATAGAATGCTGCTCAGTTCTTCCTGTTTAGTGTATCTAAGAACACAACCTGCTACAGGTGATCTCTCCTGACTGATGCAGGCAGCAGTAAGGCTGAGGCTGCTGCTCACTGATCTCCTTCCCTATTTGGGGAGGAGGCTCTGGTTTAAACAGGCTATTTGAGATCCGAGTAAACATGGACTCAGCAGACACACGGAGAGCCTCAGCTGTTGCTGATTAATCATCAGGAGGCCGATTCGCTCTCTTATACAAATGACGGTGGCTGGGTGAAGGGGGGAATCCCTGCTGAAGCCCCAGAACTTAAAGATGCTTGCAGCAGAGCCCAAATTCAGCAGGAGAGGAACTTAAATCCAGTATGTGTGACAGTGGAATCCAGTCAGCTGCAGGATGAATCCGGCGCGGGTCTTGATTATTGAATGTCACACCCTTTTAGATGGTATCACGATTCTGTTTCAGCTGGCTATGAATCCGATCTGCACGACGATGCGCGACGGTACCAGCGGGTTCTGAGCAGGCTGAGGTGGACCAGCTCACCATCATCATTATTATTGTTATCATCAATATTATTATGTCTGATGCGAGTCGGCTGCTGCTTCACTCACCTGGATGAGTATTTCTGCGTCTCTGTGGAAACTGCAGCTCCTATCCACCCCTTTCTTGTTGTTTTGCAGCGCAGATCAGCAGAACCAACAGTCTTTTAGTAATCTTGGAGCCGAACCGCCTCTCGGAGCAAAAATGAAGCCGCTGCTGAGTCGTCCTCGTCAGCAGAGGAAGAGCATGTTCCCAGAAGCCTGCTCGGTGAAACCGGCCGGGGGGTGATCGCCTTTCGTCCTCTCCTGCCTTCTTGGGGCCCTCCTCCCCAGATCTCTCCCCCCTCCTGTCTGACGGATGGGCAGAGCTGTCAGTAATGAGGGAGAAGGAGGTGGAGGAGTGGGTCGGTATTTTAAGAAACGGCACGTTTTGTAAATGGGGATCTGCTTTCTCCTGACGCCGTGATTCAGCGCTCGCTCCCCCGCACCCTCCTCTCCGCTCCGCCGCGGCAGCGCAGTGATGCTCCTGGAGGAGAGGGAAAGGCCACCGGCACCGCTGTTAGGAGAAACGACACAACCGCAGTCAGAGTCCCGCCAAACGCCGCGTCCCATCAGGAACGTCAGCTCGTGTTGAAGTTGCCACTGGACTCTGCAGCTTCTGACTGAGCGCGGTTTTAGCGGTGCGCTGGCCGGGTTGCGCAGCTCTCTTGGGCCGCTGAGGGTGGGTTCTATCTGGGCATGGTCCTCCTCAGCTCAGGTACCCGCTGAGAGTGGGTATCAGATGTTAGCCCCGCTCTCGCGCGTTTAAGGTGTGAAATGGTTGCGCCTCACCGCCCTCCGCCCCCCATCACTCCGAATAAATCCGTCAGGCGTGCAGCTACGTCACCATCAGCTGAGAGAAGCCACAACGCAACCCGTGGATCTCGTGCAGCAGACCCGACCCATAAGACATCATAAATCATAAAAAAATTACTTGATGCGGTCATTAATCCATATTACATGACGTCATAGGACCACTGGCAGTAAAAAAAAACCAAAAAAAGATCATTGAAAAACATTTTAAAGCATCTTAAACCATTATTATATTCATGGTTATATAGCATCAGGGCTGGACCTCCTTTTGTTAATCAGAACTCTCTCCTGTCGTTGATCCAACAAGGTGTTGGAAACATTCCTCAGAGGTTCTGGTACATATTAACATGACATCATCACACAGCACCATCCATGATGAGAAGCTCCCGTTCCACCACATCCCAAAGGTTCTGGACTGAGAGCGGGGTGATGGAGTCCACCCATCATCATGTAGAAACCAGTTGGAGATTATCTGAGCTTTGTGACATCATGTATGATCCTTCTAGAAGTAGCCATGAGAAGATGGGTCCATGTGGTCATAACGAGATGGACATAGCAACAATACTCTGGTAGGCTGTGGGGGTTAAACCAGACTCAGGTGGGACTAAAGGGTCTAAAGTGGAACGAGACCCTCCACCACCACCACCACCAACGTTGGTACAAGGCAGGATGTTGGTGACACCAAATTCTGACCTGAGTCCATCCATCTAAATGTTGCAGTTGATATCCAGACTTATCAGACAGGAAAGGTTTTTCCAGTCTCTTCTGGTGATCTTGTGTGGATTTAAACCTCAGTTTCCTGTTCTTAGCGGACAGAAGTGACACCAGGTGTGGTCTTCTGCTGCTGGAGTTTATCAGCTCCAAGGTTCATCGTGTTGTGGTTTAGAGATGCAGTTCTGCAGACTTTGGTTGTCTATTGCCATTCTATCATCTAGAACCAGTCTGACCAGTAACCTCTGACCTCAGTAACATGTGTGTGTATGTGGATCATTTGCAGTAAACCCAATAGATGGTTGTGTGTTTAAATCCCAGAACATCATCGTTTAAAAAATTAAGAAGTCTTCACCACATCTAGATATCAAGTTCAGGTTAGGTTTAGTGTCATCTGCGCACCTCTAGTTAAATAAACCTGCTGACTCCACATCTATCTGATTTGAGTCTCGAGTTTGTCTGAAACATCGAGGGAAGAAGCAGTCCTCAAACAGAGGAAACCATTCTATGTGTACAATTAATCCCAATGTTTAAATGTCTTTTAAAATAATTAGCTCTTAATTAATAATGAGTAATTGTTGTTCCCTCGCCCGGACGTGGGTCACCGGGGCCCCCCTCTGGAGCCAGGCCTGGAGGTGGGGCACGTTTGCGAGCGCCTGGTGGCCGGGCTTTCACCCATGGAGCCCGGCCAGGCACAGCCCGAAGAGGAAACGTGGGTCCCCCTTCCCATGGGCTCACCACTCGTGGGAGGGGCCAAAGGGGCCGGGTGCAGTGTGTGACAGGTGGTAGTCGAGGGCGGGGACCTTGGCAGTCTGATCCTTGGCTACAGAAGCTGGCTCTTGGCTCATGGAATATCACCTCTCTGGTGGGGAAGGAGCCTGAGTTGGTGTGTGAGGTTGAGAGGTTCCGACTAGATATAGTCGGACTCACCTCAACGCATGGCTCTGGTTCTGGAACCAGTTTCCTTGAGAGGGGTTGGACTTTCTACCACTCTGGAGTTGCTCCCACTGAGAGGCGCCGAGCAGGGGTGGGCATTCTAGTTGCCCACCATCTTGGTGCCTGTATGTTGGGGTTTACCCCAGTGAATGAGAGGGTAGCCTCCTTCCGCCTGGGAGAACGGGTTCTGACTGTGGTCTGTGCTTATGCACCAAACTACAGTTCAGACTACTCACCCTTTTTGGAGACCTTGGAAGGGGTGCTGGAAAGCGCTCCTTCCGGTGACTTCCTCGTTCTGCTGGGGGACTTTAACACTCACGTGGGCAATGACAGTGAGACCTGGAGAGGTGTGGTTGGGAGGAACACCCCCCCCCCCCCCAATCTGAATTCAAGTGGTGTTTTGTTTTTGGACTTCTGTTGCTGTCATGGATTGTCCATAATGAACACCATGTTCAGACATAAAGGTGTCCATATGTGCTCTTGGCACCAGGATACCTCAGGCCGCAGCTCGATGATCGGCTTTGTTGTTGTTTCATCTGACCTGCAGCCGCATGACACTCGGGTGAAGAGAGGGGAGGAGCTGTCAACTGACCACTACCTGGTGGTGAGTTGGCGCAGATGTTGGGGGAGGATGCCGGTCAGACCAGACAGGCACAAATGTATCGCAAGGGTCTGCTGGGAACGTCTGACAGAGTCTCCTGTCAGAAGGGGCTTCAATTCCTACCTCCGACACAACTTCCAAAATGTTCCGGAGGAGGCAGGGGACACTGAGTCTGGATGGACCCTGTTCCGTGCCTCCATTGTTGAGGCAGCCGACCGGAGCTGTGGTCGCAGGATCGTCGTTGCCTGTCGTGGTGGCAACCCCCGAACCCACTGGTGGACACCGGCTGTTAGGGATGCTGTCAAGCAGAAGAAAGAGTCTCATCAGGTCTTTTTGGTCTGAGGGACTCCAGAGGCAGCTGACAGTTACTGGCAGTCCAAACGGAACGCGGCTCGGGTGGTCGCCAAGGCAAAAACCTGGGCATGGGAGGAGTTTGGTGAGACCATGGAGCAAGACTTCCGTACAGCTTCAAGGAGATTCTGGTCCACCATCCGGCTCCTCGGGGGGGGGGCAGTGTGCTACCAACACTATCTATAGTGGTGATGGTGTGCTGCTGACCTCTACTCAGGACATTGTGGATCGGTGGGCAGAATACTTCGAAGACCTCCTCCTCTGTGGCAAGGCTCCAGGGGTGGATGAGATCCGCCCGGAGTTCCTTAAGGCTCTGGATGCTTTGGGGTTGTGTTGGCTGACGCGGCTCTGCAATATCGTGTGGACATCGGGGGCAGTCCCACTGGACTGGCAGACTGGGGTGGTGGTTCCCTTATTTAAAAAGGGTGACCGCAGGGTGTGTTCCAACTACAGGAGGATCACACTCCTGAGCCTTCCTGGTAAGGTCTATTCAGGGGTTTTGGAAGGAGGGTCCATTGGATTGTTGAACCTCAGATTCAGGAGGAGCAATGTGGTTTTCGTCCTGGCCGTGGAAGACTGGACCAGCTCTATACCCTTAGGGGGATCCTGGAGGGTGCGTGGGAATTTGCCCAACCAGTCTACATGTGTTTTGTGGATTTGGAGAAGGCGTTTGACCGCGTCCCTCGGGGGGCCCTGTGGGGGGTACTCCGGGAGTATGGGGTACCAGGCCCTCTGATACGGGCTGTTAGGTCCCTGTATGACCGGTGTCAGAGCTTGGTCCGCATTGCCGGCAGTAAGTCGGGCTCATTCCCAGTTAAGAGTTGGATTCCACCAAGGCTGCCCTTTGTCACCGATTCTGTTCATAACCTTTATGGACAGGATTTCTAGGTGCAGCCAAGATGTGGAGGGTAGGGCTGCAACAACGAATCGATAAATTCGATGAAAATCGATTACTAAAAGCGTTGGCAACGAATTGCGTCATCGATTCGTTGTGTCGCACAACTCTTCCAAAAGCGCCCCCCCCCCCCCCCCCCCCTCCCGCCCGCCGTTGCGCGCAGACCAGAGCAAGTCAGATCAGCGCGAGGGAGAGCCGCAGATCAGCGCGAGCGAGGGAGAGCCGCAGATCAGCGCGAGGGAGAGCCGCAGATCAGCGCGAGGGAGAGCCGCAGATCAGCGCGAGGGAGAGCCGGCAGATCAGCGCGAGGGAGAGCCGCAGATCAGCGCGAGGGAGAGCCGCAGATCAGCGCGAGGGAGAGCCGCAGATCAGCGCGAGGGAGAGCCGGCAGACTTGCTGCTGCGAACCGGTTCCGCATTGTTGCGCTGCGATCCAGGCAGCTGCTTCCAGCGCATGGTCCATTCTCAAAGTGGCGCAACCAAAAAACTATAATTAGCACACGATCGTTCATGTCTGCACATGTTCTCTATTTTCTGTCTTATTTGTGCCTGAAGCGCGCTACTGCGGAGCTCATCACCTGTGCTGCGGTGATTTCACCTCACGCAGCATCAAAAACGCGCTCTGCGCTTTGCGGTTAGGAGATCTTTGATCTGCTCAAAAGTAACTGATGAAGTGAAAAAGTAAGAATCCAGGCAGCAGATTTTCTGGAGAGTTTAGAGGAGATGCAGGAAGATGAGAGACAGACAGGACAGGAAAATATAGTTGAATAAAAACAAGAAAACAAAACAAAGTGTTGAAAAGTAAAATGTAGGTAGATTTATCTCCATTACACGTTTTTACCAGTAAAAACAATAAGTTATACACATGTCATATTTATACATCTGATACAATTCAGATCACCTTCAACACTGTCACACACCCAGGGCCGTTTCAAGACATTTTGGGGGCCAAGGCAAAATGACCCCCCCCCCCCCCCCCCCCATAGCTGGGCTCCCCAGAAGCCTCTGTGTAATTCATGCCCTCTCCAGGAGTATTAGTTATACAGTGTTTATAAAAGCTCCTCAGACATTACTGACATGTTCTAATATTATCAGATGAAAAACTAAATTATCAGACATGCTGTCTCATCTGCTGCTTTTCTAAACTTGCTAAAAGTAGCTAAACCATTTGAAAGCCACTATTTGTGGATTCTCTGAAAGTTTCCATGGAGTGTGGGACAACTTATTTTTTCATTGATCCTATCGTCTAATCTCCCAGCTGAAACAAG